GGCTCTGCTCATTTTTCGTTCTGTTTTGTTTCTGCTCCTCATATTGGATAAATTCAGTTGACCTTTCTTGGGTTCACTGTTTCTTTCTTCTGCCTGTTCAAATCTGCTGTTGAACCCTCTGGTGAAACTGTCACTAAAGTCATTATACCTTTTAGCTCCAGAATTTCTATTTGGTTCCTTTTGATAATTTCACTTTATTAATATTCTCTATTTGGTTAGACGTTGTTCTTCTGTTTTCTCGAGTTTCCTGGAGTTTCCTTTAGTTTTTTAGTATATTTACATTTGACTTAAAAGCTTTTTTTTTTTTTTTTTGAGACAGAGTCTCACTCTGTTGCCCGGGCCAGGGTGAGTGCCGTGGCAGCAGCCTAGCTCACAGCAACCTCACACTCCTGGGCTCAAGCGATCCTCCAGCCTCGGCCTCCCAGAGTGCTGGGATGACAGGCGTGAGCCACTATACTGGGCCTGATTGTGACACTTTTTGACAGCTTAATTATTGCTTTAGTGGGGAGATGGATTCTTGGAGCTGCGTACTCCACTTCTAGTGACATCCATCTCTGTTTAATGTTTTTTAGCTGTACTTTTTTGTGTTTCTTAGTGGTTGCTCTTTCGCTTAAGTAGCTCTTTCTTCAGCCTCACAATTACAATGTGCATTTTAAAATGTCATTGTGCTGTCTTCTGGCTCCATTGTTTCTGATGAGATGTCATCTGTCAATCAAACTGTTGTTTTCTTGTACGTTGAAAAAACTTTTTTCTCTTGCTGCTTTCAAGATTTTGTCCGTCTTTGGCCTTAGTAGTTTGGGATACGTCCAGGTGCGGATCTCTTTGCCTTTATGCTATTTGGGCTTGAGTAACCTTGGATCCATAGATTGATGTTTTATTTTGTTTTATCAAACTTGGGAGATTTTCATCCATTATTTTATCAAATAACTTTTCCTGCCTCTCTCATCTCCCTTTGGGACTCCTGTTGCCCATTTGCTGAGGGTCGGTACCGGCATGCAGGTCTCTGAAGCTCTGTTCATTATTTTCAATCTTTTTTTCTCTTTATTCTTCAGATTGGGAAATTTCTATTGACTTTTTTCTTCTGTCATCTCAAATCTACTGTTGAGTTCATTTAGTGGATTTTTTTAAAAAATAGGCTTCATTTTTTTAGAGGAGCTTTAGTTTCACAGCAATATCGAGGGATGGTACAGAGATTTCCCATGTACCTCTGGCCCTGACCCACGCACAGCCCTCCCCATCGTGTTACCACCCAGTGCCAACGCGATACACTTGTTACCATCCACGCGCCTACCGGCACGGCACTGGCACCCAGCTCTGTGGTCGACATCAGGCCACTCTCGGTGGTGTGCATTCTGTGGGTTTTGGCAAATGAGTGATGACGAGGATCTGCTGACGCAGGGTCACACGGGGTGGTCTCACTGCCCTGAACCCTCTGCAGCACCTGTTCATCTGTCCCTCCCCACGTCCCTCCCCACGTTTAATGAATCTTCCCTGTCAGTGATTATGCTTTCAGCTCTGGAATTTCCATTTGATTCCTTTTATGTAATATCCACGTTTTTAAGATTCTCTATTTCTTGAGTAATTGTTATGTTTTCATTTAATTCTTTGGACATACTTACGATAGCTGCTTCGAAGTCTTTGCTAAATTTAACATCTGGGCCCATTCAGAGTCAGAGTCTATCAACTTTTTTTTTCCTAAATATGGGTCACACGTTCCTGTTTGCTTGTCTCATCATAATTTGTTGAAAACTGGATATGTCAGATGATTATTATGTATCTGGATTCTGAACTGTTTTCCTGAGTTTTGTGTTGTTTGTTTTAATTAAGTTTTCTGGACTAAACTGCAAAACCTGTTTCCCTCTACATAGTGTGCAGGCTCTGATATCTCTGCTCAGATTTTTTAGTTCATGTTTATCTTTTAGCCTGGCTTCCTAGGTACCGCTTCGGTGTCTGTGCCGCGTCCTGGTCAGACAGTGATTTAGGCAGAGGTTGTGCTCAAATACCTCTAGGCCAAAGGCTTCCCTGCTCAGCCGCTCAAGCTGTGTGTGTCAGGGAGCAGATCACAAGTTCGCCAGTCCCCAGCTTCCTCTGCTTTCACTCTCCCACGGCCTCTCTTGGAGCCACCAACACATGCAATAGTTTACGCGGAGAGCCGAGTTCCTCCATGGCTCTGTCGTGTTCGGTCTCCCTGGTACATATCTGACCAGCCCAGTGCTCTCCCCAACTGAGGCCACAACCCCAGATGATCAGAGTTAGTGTCCCGGTGGGTTTTTCATCAAGTTAATCACTGAGCTACAAGGCCCTGGCTGTCCCCGCTGTCCCTCATCCACCCTCTGCTGCTGCTGTTTCTGCAGCCTGCCCCACACGAGCAAACCTCAGGTGCGCTGACCCAGGAGTGGGAGCAGGTGGCAGCCACAGGTGCAGAGGCTGAAGACTTCCCACTGTTCTGACCTAAAGCCAAGCGGTTTTTCCAGAATAATCTCTTCTCAGTGTGTTATCTTTGGTCAATTTCCAGAACTCTGAATGGGTGAGTTTTGACAGTTTTGTCAAGTTTTACATTGTTTTTCTGTGGGGAGGATTCAATGGCCTTTCTACTTGGCCACAGCTGAAACTCAGAACCCACTTTAGTTCTAAACGCTGTTTTCAGGTTTAAGTCTTTACTTATTCTGGAATGTATTTCCATGAATGTTGTGAGGTGGGTGATGGAGTTGGGTTTTCCATATATGAAATCTAGGTTTTAATTTTTCTTTGTGAAATCTGTAGGCCACGTTTTCCCAGCTGTGTGGTGCGCCTCTGCCGTGCGCGGCTGTCCTGTGTGCGGTGCACCCGTTCTCTGTTCCGCAGTCATCTCATGGATGTGTCCTTAACTACTCTCCAAGGCTGGAAATGTCGGTGTTTCCAGGTTTTTCATATTTGATTAACATCCTTGTGGCCAAATCTTTGCAAACATTATTACTTTAAAAAGATCGTTTCTTAGAGGCACTTGCTGGGTTAAAGAGTATACCGTATTTTAAGTCTGCCGATACTATGGAATATTCCTCCAGAAAGGTTTGGTTAACGGATGTGGTGTGTGTTGAAGGGGGATCTTTAGTCAAATTCACCTCTGGGTTTAGCCCTCCCTTGGAGCATGTTCCTTGGCTCCCCAGAGAACGGGCCTTGTAGCCTGTGTCCACCGCAGTGCGGTTGGGGCACGGCCTGTCGCTGCTGCAGCCGCTGGTCGTTGGCAGTGCCCTGTGTGGGAAGGAACTGCTGGGCTGGGGAGGCGTCGGGGCGTCTCTGACTCCCTGTGGGAGACTCGAAACACTTTCCTGCCGCGTCTGTCTCGTTTCCACCCGCTGGTTTCTACCTGGGAAGACAGCCTGTGTCGCGCGGCAAATGCCAGTTCTCGGTTGCTCTTGCAGGGTCGGGACAGTCTCCACTTGAAGGGACGGCGCAGCAGTGGCAGCGGGTGGCGAGCTGTTCATGTCTTTATTTGGCAAAGTTCAAGGTGGAAGTCCTACGTCTTCCCCACATTTCCTCTTCCTCCTCTCTCTGTCTCGGTTTTGTTTTTAATTTTACTCGCTCACTGGTCTCTCAGAGTCGAGGCACCCCTTTTACAACTAGGAGGACCTGTCGTGTGGGCACACGCCCACGCAGCCAGCCACTGCCTGCCTGCCGTCTGGTGGGGCCTTGGCAGCCGCCACCACAGGGCTGCTGCCACCTCGGTCCTCGCGCCCAGGATGCTGCTCAGAGTGGCCAAGTCCATCCTGAGAGAGAAAATGCAAGCATGTCCGTGTGTGTGTATATGTGTGTCCTGTATACAGTTGGCCCTTGGCATCCATGAGTTCCACATTCATGCATTCAGCCAACCATGGATCGAAACTATTTGGGAAAAAAAGGATGGTTCCTTCTGTACTAACCAACTTTTTCTTGTTGTTATTCCCTAAATACAATATAACCATGTTTACGCAGCATCTACTTTGTGCGAGGTGTTACACGTGACCTAGAGATGATGTCGAGAAAACAGGAGGATGCTCTGTGCAAATACTGCACCTTTTACATAAGGGACCTGAACATCTGGGGACTTTGATATCTGAGGGTGGTCCTGGAACCATCCCCCAGGGATGCCAAGGGACAACTGTGTATATGCAAGTGCGCAAGAGTGTGTATGTGCATGTGTGTATTTAGTGTGTGCGTGTTACTGTGTGGCCATGTGTGCATGTGTATATGTGTGACAGAGAGTGTGTGTCAGTGTATGTGTATGACAGTGTATATTTGTGTGTGAACATGTATGCACATATATGTGAGAGTATGTTAGTGCATGCATATATGTATATGTGAGTGCATGCGTGTACGTGTGAGTGCATGTGTATGAGTGCATGTGTATACATGTGCGTGCGTGTATACGTGCATGTGTGAGTGCATGTGTATGTGAGTACACATGTATACGTGTGAGTGCACGTGTATAAGTGTGAGTGCATGTGTATACTAGTGAGTGCACATGTGAGTGCATGTGTATACGTGTGAGTGCATGTGTATGAGTGCATGTGTGAGTGCATGTGTATGTGAGTACACATGTATATGTGTGAGTGCACGTGTATACGTGTGAGTGCATGTGTATACTAGTGAGTGCACATGTATGTGTGTGAGTGCATGTGTATGTGTGAGTGCATGTGTATACGTGAGTGCATGTGTATACGTGTATATGTGAGTGCATGTTTATGTGTGTGAGTGCATGTGTATACGAGTGAGTGCACGTGTATACGTGTGAGTGCACGTGTATATGTGAGTGCATTGTATACGTGTGAGTGTGCGTGCATGTGCATACATGTGCATGCATGTGTATGCATGTATGAGTGCATGTGTATACGTGTGCGTGCACATATATGCCTGAGTGTGCCTGTCTGGCTCCCTGTCTCTCCCCCTTCAGGGCAGTCCAGGTGGATGAGCTCAGTGCTCCTGGGCTCACCTGCCTCTGCTGGGCCATGTCTCAGCCACTGCCCACTGTGCCCTCTCTGCAGGTTCTCCCACGGGCAGGTGGTCTCTCTGGACGAGCTGCGCCCCTTCCAGGACCCGGACCTGAGCTCCCTGCAGGCCGGCTCCGCATGTCTGGCCAAGCACCAGGACGGCCTCTGGCACTCTGCGCGCATCACTGGTGAGGCTGGCGCTGTCTTGGAGCCGCAGGGCTCTATCTAACAGGGCCCTTCCTGGGAAACTCCCGTGCCTCATGCGTGTGGTTACCATGTGGCCACTCCCTGCCTCCTTCAGGTTGGGCGTCAGGACTGCGGCTCTGGGCCCAAGATGAGCGTCTTGCTCCCAACTTGCAGCGAGGCTCCCGGCTGGGGCTGACCTGCGGCTTGTTCTGCCCCCAGATGTGGACAGTGGCTACTACACAGTCAAGTTCGACTCGCTGCTGCTGAGGGAGGCTGTGGTGGAGGGGGACAGCATCCTGCCCCCACTGCGCACGGAGGCCGCAGAGTCCTCTGACTCCGACAGCGGCGGCGTGGATGACTCCAGCTACGCCCGAGGTGTGGCAGCAGCTCGGGGTACCCAGAGGCCAGGAAGGTGGGGGTGGTCACTCTGAGACATTTGGGGAGTGAGTGGCTGCTGCGAGGCCCCCTGTGATCGGGGGTGGGGGGCAGGCACAGCTGAGGGCTGTCGGACCCCAGGATGCGAAGGGCCTGGAGCAGATCCAGAGGCCCGGGATGCAGAGGCCAGTCGTGGTCTTGAAGGAGTCAACAAGTGCAGTCTCGCTGATGCGAGGCCGTGGCCGTGGGAGGGGAGGGGCCACCGATGCTGGGGCTGCCAAGGAAGTCTCAAGGAGTGACCAGTTGGTGGACGTAGAGTGCAGGAAGGACCAGCTCCGCCGGGTGGCTCCCCAGACTTAGGGCCTTGTGTCTGGTGGCCCTGGCAGGCAGCCAGGCTGAACATTCAGGAGTAAGAGCTGGGGCGGTGTGCAGCCCTCAGAGAGGTTAGAACCAAGCCTGGGAGGTGTCCCCAGGCGTCTGTGATGGGAGTGGGGGTTGCTGAAGCCCCACGTCCACGTGATCGAGGAGAGGAGTGAGCCATGGAGGTGGGGTTGGCCACTCTCCGTGAGGGCAGGGGAGGGCCTGTGGAGGCCCCTGGTGCAACCAGGTGCCGCCCTGAGGGGTGTGGGCTGCAGCAGGCCACTGTCCATTGTCACGTGCCCACAGTAGGCCTGGGCGACTGTCGGGGAGCCCTAGGTGTGGGGATTAGGGCCCTGCCCAGTAGCTGAGCTCTTGGGCTAACACTGGCCAGAGCCCAGGGCGCCGAGCAGACCTCTGACCTGGCCGAGCCGCTGCTCTGTCTCCTGCAGTGGTGGAATCGGGCCCTGCGGACCCCGGGACCTGCAGCTCCGCCTTCGCGGGCTGGGAGGTGCACACGCGGGGCATCGGCTCCAGACTCCTCGCCAAGATGGGCTACGAGTTTGGCAAGGGTGAGTGCGGGCTGCCCTAGGTGGGGGTGCTGCCGCAGCAGCCGTGGTGCCAGCCCCGTGTCTCCCCCAGGCCTGGGCCGGCACGCGGAGGGCCGGGTGGAGCCCATCCACGCCGTGGTGCTGCCTCGAGGAAAGTCGCTGGACCGGTGTGCGGAGATCCTGCAGAAGCGGACCAAGGGCGGCAAGGCAGGCGCCAGCAGGCCCCCCAGGTGCCGGGGGAGGGGGGGTAGGCCTGGGGGCCGCCCGCCACCCCGGAATGTGTTTGACTTCCTAAACGAAAAGCTGCAAGGCCAGGCTTCGGCCCTGGAGTCTGGGGAGGCCACCCCAGGGAGGAAGAGCAAGGACATGTATCATGCCAGCAAGAGCGCCAAGCGGGCCCTGAGCCTGCGGCTCTTCCAGACCGAGGAGAAGATTGAGCGGACCCAGCGGGACATCCGGGGCATCCAGGAGGCCCTCGCCCGAAACGCCGGCCGGTACATGCGGGGCTGATTCAGGGCAGAGGGTGGGCCCGGGGTGGCCGTGTCTGCCTGCCAGACGTGTGCGGGTGGTCACTGGCCCCAAGCGTCCAGCAGTGGGCACAGTGGCCTGGGGAGTGGGGGCCTGAGGGGGGCGGTGCAGGAGCCCGTGCTGACTGGCCGCCCCTCCCCAGACACAGCGCGGCGGCAGCCCAGCTGGAGGAGAAGCTTGCGGGAGCCCAGCGGCAGCTGGGGCAGCTCCGGGCTCAGGAGGCCGGCCTGCAGCGGGAGCAGAGGAAGGCCGACACCCACAAGAAGATGACTGAGTTCTAGAGACCCACGAGCACCATGGACAGAGCCCGGGACCCCAGTGTGGGCCACCCTCAGGAAGACCTGCTGTCACCCCAATACCTCAGATGCCCCTGAAGAGGGGCCGGCCCACTCCCAGGCGTGCCCTCTTGGCCAGCCTTGCTGACCTGGGACTTGTGGACGCTGCCGAGTGGAGACAGGGCTGCAGGGTCACATTCTGGACACTTGTCCACCAAGCCTACCTGCCAGTGTCTGGGCATCTCCTTATCCAGGACATTAAAGCGATTTCGCCGCAGTGTCATTCCGTGGAGGCTCGGCTGGCTGCGGCGTCTCAGGGAAGAGAAGGGGCTGCGCAGGTGGTGACAGCCAGGCTGGGCCGGAAGGGCCTGGGTGAGGCTGCCACCCCTGCCCAGGGTCGGAGGGTCTAGGAGGGCCAGCATTGTCCCTTCTCTGACCAAGGTGGGTCAGAGCTGGGGGGCCCGCCAGGTTGGCTGACACCCACACACGGGTGGAGCGTGGTGATGCTCTGGTGGGTGAGACGTGGGGACGACTGTGGCCCTTGACGGGCGCTGACAGCACTTAGGCCGGTGGCCCCAGCTGCCCCCACAGCTTTGGGGATTCCGCGCCGTTGCTCGGGGGCCACTGACCATGCAGTTCCCTGCTCTGCCGCCTCCCCGTGCGTGGAGGGGCCGTAGCGGGGCTCTCAGAACAGTGCTGGCTGGAAGCACACGCTGACTCCGTCTCTTCTAGTCTCAGGCGAGAGGCCGAGGCAGGTGGGTGGGAGGCAGCAGGGGAGGTGCTCTGAGCCGCAGGGGCAGGAAGTGAGGTGGGAGCTCAGCCGCACAAAGGCCTTCCTGGCCTGCCCCAGACAGAGCTGAGGAGGAGCCTGGCCCACAGCCTTGGTAAGTGCCTGCCCTGGCCTCCAGCCTGGGCAGGTCCTAAGCCCTCGGTGCCCACCGAGGTTGGGTCATCAGAGGGCTGGGGTCTGGGAGGGCCAGGCCCTGCCAGGTCAGGTTAGTCAGCTGGGCCCTTTGGGAGAACATTCCACACCCCAGGTCTGGGCAGACTGGCATCGACCTCCAGAGACCACCCCCCAATTCCTGCCTCCCTGCTGCCGGACTGTGCCAATCATGGGTGTCCCTCACTCCCAAAGGCTCTGCCAAGTCCCCAGGAAGGGGGAGATCCTGTGGCAGGGTAGGAGAGCCAGGGAGAAGGGGGATGGGGGCATTCGGTGCCCACAGCAGCCCCCTCCTGCCTCCTGCCCCTCTTCCAGCTTCTTGGGGTGCTGAGCTCTGTAGTGAGTGGCTTGGGGGCATCACCTGAGAAAAGGGGCCACCCCCGGGCAGTGGTGACCTCCAGTGAGGTCTGGCCTGGGGCGCGCAGGCCCTGGGGCTTCCCCAGATCTTGGGTTTGGTGACCACAGCTGGCCTTAGCACCCAGCTGCCCTGCCCCTCCTCACTGGCTGTGCTCCGTTGCTGTGGTCACCCTCCCCGGCTCCGATGGGGGCTGGGCAGAGCACCCTCCACTCACCTCCCCAGGAGCCCTGGCCAGAGGCGGGAAGGTGGGTGCCTCTGGGAGGGAGGGCTGTGAGCGTGGGGTTTCCTGTGCTGAGTCAGAGCCCAGGGGGAGGGGCGGGGCTGGTGCCCTCAGCCTGCCCGCAGTGCCCCTCTCTCTTCTGCCCCCAGGCCCCTGGCTTCACAGGATGGGGCTGCGGGTGCCCTCAGCCCCTCCTGCTCTCTGGGTCCTAGGGTGCTGCGCCCTGCTCCTCTGGCTGTGGGCGCTGTGCACAGCCTGTGGCAGGTACGTCCATCTGTCCCGGGTTTACTCGAGGGCTGACCGAGGCCCGCCCTCCGCTGCCCAGCTCGGGAGGGGCCCGAGGCAAGTCCATGCACCCATCTCTGCACGCGCCTCCGCCCTGGGCCTTGGACCCGAGGCCGGTCACCCCCGCCCTCAGCTCTGCCTCCCTGGCCTGACCACGCTCTTGCCCCCAGGAAGCGGGCGCGGAGGCCCTGGGCCGGGCTGCAGGGCAGCATGATGCCGGCGGAAGCGGTGAGTGCCTGGCTGTCCCAGGGCCGGGGCGGGGCTGGCTGGGAACCGACCTGCATGCCCTGCCCCCAGGCACTGCTGCGACGGACCCAGCTCCGCTCCCTCAGCAAGTCCGACACCAGACTGCACGAGCTGCGTGCCGGTCCGCAGGGCTGCAGAGGTGAGCAGAGCCGTGCTTGGAGTCTCCCAGCGTCGGGTGTGGGCGGCTGGGTGGGGCTTGCTGCGCGCACCCGCAACCCTGGGCCAGACTTGCTCCCTGCTCCTGAGTGACCTCTGCCCTGACCCCACCCCCAGCCCAGCGGCCTGCCAGCATGGATCTCCTTCGCCCCCACTGGCCAGAGATGTCCAGGGCCCTCCCCAGGCTGCAGGCAGCCACCTCTGCCTTCCCGAACAGAGAGCTGCCCCGGGGCCCACCTGCTGCCACACCCACCATGGGCCCCATGGCCACCTACTCCAACGTGGGGCTGGCGACCTTCCCCAGGGCTGGCCTGGCAGCCAGCCCTGTGGTCGCTGAATACGCCTGCGTCCAGAAGCTCAAGGGCACAGAGCAGGGCCCCCAAGAACAGCAGGGAAGGGCCAAGGAGTCCCCAGCCGCTCAGGTAAAGGGGGCCAGGGTCGGCACGGTGGGTGGGGCTGGGAAGGTCCCCTGCAGAGTGGATGGTACTGACACCTCCCCTGTCCACTTCCTTGCTCCAGGTGGACATCCTGTACTCCAGGGTGTGCAAGCCTAAAAGGAGGGACCCAGGACCCACTACAGCCCTGCTGGACCCCGAGGGCAGGGGAGCAATTCCAGCCCTGGGGAGCGACTCGGCCTATGAGGCCCTCCCACTCAGGGGCCGGAGTGTGGACAGTGGCCCCCTGGAAAACGTGTATGAGAGCATCCGGGAGATGGGGGCCCACGAGTGCCCAGAGCCCCCAGCTCTGGCCGTCAGCATCCGTGGACATAAGCTGGACACTGGGGCCCCTGGCTTCCACCCGCCTCAGCCCAGGCAGGGGCTGGAAACCCCTCCCTGCCCGGAGCACTCAAGTGCCCACGCTCTGTCCTCCATAGTGAGGCCCATTCCCCCTCCCCAGCGGACAGCGCCAACCCCAGACCTCGGGGCTGACAGGCTGTGCGGCCCCTGAGGTGCGAGCTGCTCTGCCAGCCTGGCCTCCTGGCCCGGAGAAGGCCGCGTCTAAATAAATCGCATCGCAGGCATGAACACGGCCGCGCCCCACAGCCTGCCCTTCTTGAAAGCTGGGAAGGCCGGGGCCGGGGTTCTCTGGAAGGATTAGCGCTGTCCCTTCCGGCCTGGGGAGCGGGCTCCGGCCCAGTCGCCCGAGGCCGTGCTCGCGCTGGTCCGGCTCGGAGCCGGGAGAGGAGGGAAAGGCGGAGCTCGCGCTGGCGTTTCCAGGCCGAGTCGGTAGAGGGGGCGGCGCAGCGGCCGGCAGGGGGCCGCCCGGGGTGGGACTTGGGCCCTGGACTCCCCGGGAGGGCTCCGCCACCCGGCCCGGTGTTACATAAGGGGTTGGGGGTGGGCAGCCGTGCGTTAAGAAGTAACCTGCTCCCGGGAAGCCCGCCCAGGGAGCGCGGCTCCCTCCCCGGCTCGGGCGGTAGCCTGAGCGCCCGTGCGAGGCCGGCTCTCCCGGGCGGCGGGCGGGGACGCGGGTGCTGGCCCGGCCCCCTCCCCGGGCTGGCGCGGG